CCATTTGTAGAAGATCCAAGAAATGACTTTTCTTTGCTTCTAATGCTTGTCTTTGCGATGTAGATCCCAAACCCGCCTCCGAGCTATTAAAACCGTCATCAATAAACTCTGTTACATTATCATAACATGAGTTAAAGGCTGAATTAGCAGCCCCTGAATGAAAACGTTGAGGATTATTCTCCAAGCCATCAAGCGAGTAAGTAGCGAAATGGGATAGTATTTCTTGAACAGAGTGAAGGTACTTTGAGCCAAATATAACTTGAGAGACATTATTAGAAATGTCTTTGTTGCTGCTGCAAGAAGCTTGCTCTGAGGCTATTCTAGTAGATTTAGTAGCAGCACAAAGACTTATCTCCGAGCACTCATCAGAAACATCGGTGGCAAGACTCAGAGAAAGCTCGTTTCGTTTATTCGAAAGCAGAAACGGGAAATCTTCTTCGCCGAATGTAGACATTATTGGCTCACTTGGACCAACATCACCTTCTACGCATGAATATGCTTGAAACTCAGTATTTCCTCCAAAACTCCACATGTTGTTTGAGGAATCATCATAAGGTCTTAAATGATCCAAATGATGAAGTGGAGGAGGAGCCATGACTTGAAAGCTTTCGATATTGCGGTTTTCTTGAACATTGATAGAACTTGAAGTAGTAGATGATAAGTACTTGTTAGTGAGCAAAGAATTGAAGATATCAAATCCACCCATTTGTAAAGGATCTGATGATCTGATGGAGTTCCATGGAAGAAGCATTGTTGAATCTTCTCTTGAAGGTATAAAATCCATGCGAAGAGGATTTTGGTTAGTCATGACATTATCCAGTGAACTAAAAGTGTTGTGGTTGTCCATTGGGGTTTCAAAGTAACTGCATTAACAAGAAGATAAAGTATTTAAGACTCAAGACAAAGGATTTTTTTTCAGAAGATCTCTCAGTAACCAAAATCTTTGGAGAATAGTACTAAATGTAAAATGCTGCAAGAGACAGAGAAGAACTTCAATGTCATTAAATATTTCATTATGCAACTTTTAAACATATATAGGTAAATGTGAAAATGAAGCAGTAAGTAGGCTCAATGATACACAGACCAATAATATTTCAAAGATGCCTGTGAAAAAAACAGTTATAAATAAAAAAGAAAGCTTTAGATTACTACAAATGTCCATAGAACAATAAAAGTGTTGAAACTTACCTTTTATCCTTCTTCTTCATAAAAACCTTTGGGAAGAGATCTTAGAAAACATTGCAACCAGAAAATTTAAACATAAAAGTTTCCAAATTGTGTGTCATAAATTGAAGAAGAAGAAAAGATTTTACTTCTCTTCTTTCTCAGTGAAAGAACACTGTACTTTCAATTCCAACACTTCCCTATATGTTCCTAAAGAGAGACCAAAAAGGGAGAAATCAGC